GCTGAAACTACACGCATCCAACCTTTGCATATGACATCCATTGCAAGATTTTTTTTGATTTTTACATGGACTGCAGCATCTATCCTGTCAAACTTATTCTCAAAGTTTCACGAATGTGTTTTTTACCTGTATGAAAAGAGTCTGAATAATCTGTATAAAACGGATCGGTTGCTTAGGATTTAATTTTGGAAAGGCCTGTGATGACTGCCTACACAGATAAGAAATTTAGGTACTGTTAGATAGACTATTTCCTTCATACTATGTATTAGAGCTGTCAAACAAGTTCTAGTCTTCTTCCTGCTTTATCACAAATCTCCCACCTGTAGGCATTTCCCTTAAAACCCTGAAAAAAACCCCAGTATACAGCCTCCTTATATAGACGAAAACTTGGAAAAGGAACGCTTAATGGCATAATATAAGTAGAAAAAGGGAAAAGAAAAGGACAGCTATTATGTTTTTCATTTCTTAACCCTCTCCATGGTTTTAAGCCAACCTGCCAATTTATGAATTCTTATTGTTTGGATTTGGCACTATTGCATCACAAACTCTGTTATGAATGACTGAATGTTCTTTCTTTTGGACTATAAACTTCCTTGGACAGGAACTATTGTTTACCATACTTTTGTACCACATCTTGCCCAATCTTTGGATCAGAGGTCTGTGGGTGACTGCACTCATCAAGTAATAAGGGAAGGGCAATGACTTATCATGCTCTCCCTGGCAAACTCAGTCCTAACAGGTTGCCCATAAACTGTGGTTTAGGAATCATTGTTCTAAGCTCACTTTTTATTTAACATATTCCACACTTGTAGCCTAAGAATTATCTTCTCTTGACTATGCCAAGCATGATTTCAGGGCACAGTGGAGAATATTTATGCAACCTTTTAATTTTTTAATTTTTTAATTTTCATATTTGCTTATTTATTTTTATTGTTTCAAAAGACACTAATGCAACTAAGTGCCTCTGAAATCATTACTTATTTTTGGTACTGCTTGTAGGCTTACTGTGGCAGATTGCTTCTTTTTAGTAAATTACTCTTTTTTGAGAAGATACAATCCAGATTGCTTCTACCCTGAGGGCTTATAAACTAAAAACCCCTACTATTACATATATTCCCATGTGGCTTGAAATACTAGTAGAATATATAATACATTCACCCACAGTCAGTATACGACTGAGAAAAGAAAAAGGAGCAGGAAAGCACTAGAAGATTATGATACTGGCTGGCAGATCCAGGACCTCAGCCCTCAGAAGATGAGAAGGCAACTGTTAACTTGTGGTTAATTTCCAGAAGGAAATGACTGGCTCCTGATTTATAGGTAAATATGCGATTCAGTTATTAAAAAGACATGGGATGAATTTTTCAAAATGCGCTACTGATCTTTTCAGTTTCCAGTGATTTTAAAGAGTAGGTTTAAAGGTATTTTGAGGATGCTTCATTTAAAGAGAGCAAGCACTTAGTCCCTCTGACAGAATTTGTAGAGTACCAACTACTCTTGAATAACATGCTTTTTTAGTTTAATATTCCTGTCAAGATGGAAGAAGTACAGAAATCAAATAGTGAAACAAACAAGTTACAGAAAATGAATAAACAACTAAAACAAGTATATTTTTTATTACACTCGTCCTGGATTTAAAACTTGAGATTGACTTTTTCCTTCGATTTGATAATTTATAGTGGTTTAAAACATAAAGGAGTTCTGTTGATTTAGATGAGCTTATTCCATTCAAAAGAAAACTTAATTATAAAATACAAAATGTCATAATCTGAAAACCATATGAAAAATGAAAAATATAACTCAGTTTGAAAATCAAAAGTTTAAAGTACATGTAAAGATGCAAAGAAAGACATCTCCCAATACTGTTGTATTTTGATTTCAAAACTATTGAGATATTTTTTAAGTTTTAATCTTTTATCAGGCTTTCAAATAAATACTGAGCCACTGAATAAAACTAGCATTGAGACAATTTACAGTACTAAAACGTCGTAGATATTATTTATTTCTGGTCAAATTACTGTTAAGTGGTTTTGTTAAAGACTACGCTCCCAAAAAATCCAAAGAACTTCACATAGTCTATTATATAAACAGGTAACATGTCACTTAGTCTTCCTATTAGTTATGAGGTAAGACAGAATGGTTTCAGAGCATACCAATTTGGGTCCAAAAAGTTCTTGTTCTCTCTTTCAGTTAAAAGCCTTTGGTTTGAGAGAATAGTGCCAAGGACATTGCTGTATTTATAATTTAGCAAATATACTAAATGTGAAGTTCACTCCAATTTTCTTGGCAGTTGCTACTATCACGTGACAGAAAATATCCAATTAGAGTTTGGCTAAGAGCAAATTTACTTTAACAAACCTGAGATAACCTTAGTTTAACTTAAAAATACCACTGCTGGTGTTTAGTTTCGTAGGATAATAAAGAAATAGTCAGCTTTTTTAAGTTCTATTTATGTCTTGGGTTGACTCCCAAGGTAAATTGCGGATGATTTCAGGGTTATTACCTGAAATAATCCAAACCAACAAAATAACATACTTCTCAAAACACAGGCTTAACTAATCTTTTTCCATTTCTGATATTACAGTTATAATGCAATTTGCTATAATGTAATTTGTTAAAGTAGTGTAGAAACTGAGGCCTGGTGTTAGTAATCAGAAGTAGTTTCATTTTATGATGGCAGAAATGAAACTCTTTAGACTCTTCTTCGTGGAGCATGTTATTTTGAATATATGCTATTTTTGGACACTGCAGAAAAATGCAAATTCATAATGCTCTAATTTGGCCAGAAATATGAACCCCAACAGATTAAACCACATGATCATGCTACCAGCTTCTAAGATGCCAAATGCAAGGAAACACAGAGGTCTCTGTTCCTCGCGAAGAATGATGAACAAAGAGAACTTTTGATGTTTAGTCTTCTGCACCCTAAAGAAAGAGGACTGTCCAAAATAGTGTCATTGTGGAATGATGCAACTAAGACAGAGGATTCAACCTTATAGTGACCTTTTCATCTTCCTACAGCCCTGTATCAAATTCTTCCTATTGCTCTGCATTTAAGAGATTTAGAAAACACTTCTTTAATGGTGTTTAAAGCTCTTATTGCCAGATAAAGAACAAAGAGTAGTCATATGATTAAATATTTATGCCGCATTCCTAGCAATGCCCCTCATATATATACCCCTCAAATCAATTGCCTACTCCAAAGTTACATTGCTTGAGAGCTTAATGCATAACACTGCACGCAGGAAATACAAATTCTTAATTTGTGAGTAAATAATCAAGCTATCTCTCTTCCTACGCTTATATATGCTTTTAATATATTTCCAACAAAAAAAAATGTATTTAGAAAGAATACAGATTTTCAACTGGTGTGTTGATATACAGGTTTTATTAAGCACAAGGATTATGAAGCCAAAGGCATGTGCAGACGAACTTTTATTTTAGTATGTGCCTCTTTTAAAAGAAAACGTTGCCTTCTTTACTAATTGCTTTCCGGCGTCTTTTTAAAGGAGCAGGGAAATCAGTAATGAGGCAAGGAGGTTTGTTAATTGGCCAGTAGAGGGAGCCCCTTAATAGGGCAATCCACTTCCTACCCGACTCCCTCCGCTGCCCTTCCTGAAGTTTCTACTGCACACGAGGTTAAAAGGAGAGGAAAAGGGAACAGGGCCAGAATGAATCTCGCTCTAGCTGTGTTTCTCAGGATAACCAAAGATAATTAACAAAACTATAATTTTCTATCATGCTTTCTTCTTTTTTGAGAACAAAGGAGACTAATAGCTAAGTTCCCATGGTCTGCCTTCCCTACTCCTAAATTAATAAAAAAATGACCCCTCAAAGCTTCAGCATGTGTTTAAAGTGCCTTTCTGATAACAATGCTGTGCAGTTTCAATTTTACTACAAACGCATCACACAAACATCTGTGACTTGTCTATGCGTGAAGATAAAAGCAGGAGTGATCTAACATAGGCTGAGAAGAGCCAAGAGAGAAAAGATCACAATATCCAGAATTTCTTTATAAGTAATTTTATGAGACAACTTTAGAATTGGCATCTATATCAGTCTTGATCCGAATATTTTTCCATACAGTTCTTTCTGAGAGCAGTTAACCCAGTAAAATTGGATGTGCTCCATGTTTTACCACTCAGCTTATTTTCTTCGAACCTATGTGTTTACTTCTCAAACTGAAACAGTAATCTTGCCATTGTCTTTTGTAATCCGTATTTGTAATAATGCAACATTGCTGACATTGCTAACAAACCACTGAGTTTACTGAGCAAAGGGGACTACTCTGACAACATTGCTTTGATAACACAGACCTTAGCAAGTACAGTTCTCATTACTTCTATGGGAGCCGGACTAAAGGGGCTAATCTTTTCCTCTGCATGGGTATTTTGAAAATCCTTTCCCTGTTGTGTACCAAAGCACTTAAGCAAATACATAAAACTAAGCTTAAGTTAATTACTGATTATTTAAGTAAATGCCAACAGATTTTGCTGACTAGTAATGGTCTTAGAGCAGGGGCTTGAAATCATATCTGTGCTGTGTAGATTGAAGTTTAGTGAGCAACTCAATATTGAAATCTTTACTCAAGGTTAAATTCATAAAACAAAACCCCAGTTCCGCTCAGGTCAATGGAAAAACTTCCCGTGACTTAGAAAGGATCGGGGTTTCCGACACTGGCCTTAGTAGGAGTTTTGTCTGAACAGGGCTGTGCAATGGACCCAGAAGTTTTTACGGAAAGGCTAACGTGGAAGAAAACAGACATTTGTATCTGTGGAATTTGTTGAGGTGCAAGATTTTTGACATTGCTGAAGACAAGTCTTGTCCTATTAATAAGAGAAGCACAAATATCAACTCCCCACCCTCCAGCTGGGGGAAATAGACTGATCCTGATCACTTTCTAATATCCCACCTTCAATATGGAGCTATTTTTGGACTCAGCCTTTGAAGGAAGTCCTTTGTTCACTTAGAAAAATAAATATAAATTCTTTTCTCTTTACCTGCACTGGTGCCTGCACCGGTTGTGAGGTCCCCACCCATCAGGCCACCTAGGGTGTTGAAATGAAATACTACAAGTGAGCATGATAAATTATAACAGGCAAATATTCAAAACATTTTCTCTAACTTCAAACTGCTTGGTCCAGTACCCACCAGTGTTTTTGTCTGACTTCAACAGGCATCAGATCAGACCCATAGTCATAAAATTGTAATGTTTAATGTTACCCATATAAGACACTTGCGTTTCAAGGACAAACAAAATATGTAGTACACAACATTTCATTATTTTATTTTCATATTTCCATAGCACAGGAAAAATCAATAATATTTTAAAATTAGTCCTTCTTTTGAAAACTGTTTTTAGTTCAGTATTAGTCAGAAAAGCAAAGGCTTCCACATAGGGTTGGGAGGAAGAGAGTGAAGGTTCCTGGACGAGAACGTAACTCAGAAGCTATAATAAATATTTACATAGATTTCATTTTAATTTCCTCAGCCTTTCATAGCCATTCTCTCTAAGGATTTTTAAAACTTCTCTTTGCACTTGGGGACCTCTTTGAACTCGGTACACTTAAGGATCTTGATGTTGCTTCAGTCAGACAGATTGAATGAACTTAATCCCCATTTATCCTATTCAGAGGTGAGCCCTCATCATCACCAGACCAAAGCACAGCCTCGTGCTATACAAGGCACTCAAGTACAGAGCTCAACTAGCATTTACCCATCAAGGAACATATGAATGTGTAAATAATAATAATTTCTGCATTTAGCCTCTAGTCCAATGATTTAAGTAATGACTGTCCTATTTTACTTGCTTCAACTTGTTTGCGTTGGCTACATTTTCTCCCCTACCCCTTTTAGCTTTATGGTATACTGAGCTCTTGCATGAATTAAGTAGACAAGCTGCCTTTTTATGAAACAGCAAATTGTCTGCCCTTTTATCCTTTATTGATTTCCTTTAATCTTAGTCAATATTCAGCTTCTTCTAGAACTTTTTTTTTTTCCAATTTTTCTAAATTGGGAATAGAAACCCCTTTGGCTCTTCTTTTGATTTTTCAACACAGCAATTTTGGACAAATTGTTACGACTGGTAAAAGCAGAGTTCTTGTTCCTCAGTTTAAAGTGACCTAAGGCATACGATCCGCTGATAAAAGAGCATTTAAAGGGATGGGATTGAACAGAGCCTACCTGTGTTACCTGCACTCGGAGGCCGATGTGTCACGCCAGGAGACATGCTATTTCTTTGCAAAGAAGGATGAGCCAGCGGCAAAAGGTTGGGGTTTCCCAGTGAGCTGACTGGGTTGCTGTATACCAAACTGTTGTGGTTGGACACTGGGATAGAAACCGGCATCTCAAAGTTTGGTGGTGGAACAGCCTGTACAAGCAAAAAAGGGAAACAAAGACGAGAATAGTACAGAAGCACAACAGCCTTCAAGTACAGTTACTCTATATTTAGTTCAAATATTTTGTAGTTGGTGGTTAAAATATTTACGCTTGCCCCCCTCCCCCAAGAGTCAGGAGAAGAGTTTCAAAAGAGTCAGCAAGGCTTTTAAATACGATTTTTCACATCATGATTCCGTCTTCCTTTAATGCACATTTACTTTGTAAGAACTGGAAAGATTTTTTTCTCTTTTTTTTTGTTTGTTTAAAAAACTCCTCTGTTTTATGAAGCTTAGTTTTCTTTTTCTTTCATTCCGTGAAGTTGTAATTGTTCACTTGTGATATCTTAATCTAGTGTCACAGATGACTGCAAGATCAAAGGTACATGATTAAGATGACTTCATCGCATGGAGAAAAATCAGAAGGTGTGGAATGTAGAAGGGAAAGCTTTAATTTCAGCTTATGTTGCTTTAGCAACCAGAATGATCCCAAATCATGTTAAAGGCACCAACACAATTAATTGCTTTTTTAAAAGTTTCTATCTTAGCTTGGAGGGGCTTAAAAGAAACAAAGTTCTACTCAGGGACAGGTAGCAAATAGAAGAACTTTAGATACACACCAGTCTTTGGATTCTTTGTGGGATTTGGAGGTGTGGGTTTTTTTTTTTTTAATTATTTTCTTGGAGGGTGGTGGTGGTGTTTTGCAATATCTTTTCAATATACTGTTTTCATACTTTTAAGGCAGGTTCCTCTCCTCAGCCGCTTTCCTTGGCAAGAATTCCTTTCAAAAAAGAACCAAATTATGGACCACTCTGACAGACGATGTGAGGAGATGCACTACCTGATTCTCATTATGCTCTTAGAAAGGCCAACTCAGGTTTTCTTTGTTGGTTGGTGGGTTTGTTGGTTGGGGTCTTCTTGGGTGGCAGTTGCCTGAATTTCTTTGAAATTTATGACTCTGGTGGCATTCATTAGAACTCCATATTTAATCTACTTGTTTTTAACATAATTAATTTCTTGCCTTTGTGAACAAAAAGAAAACTTTTGCAGAATTATCTGACAGCATTTTAAATATTCCAATACCTGAATGCAAACAAAGTACCCCTTAGTTTGCCATTTAAAAATCTTATACTCTTCAAGAGTTTAAACACATAAAAAATTTCTTTAAACCAGCCTTGTAACATCTTCAAAGGGAAGAAATCACAGATTTTAATTTTGTTGTTGGCAGTTGATAGTCCTGGTAAGTCTTCAAGGACCTAGAGGGAGTATGTTGAGAGCTGGACACATAATCTGCTGTGTCAGGCAACAGAGGCACCCCGACCTTGTGCCTCCCACATGTCTCTTCTCTGGCTAGCCAGAGCTGTTGGCTGTGCCCTGTGTATTACAGCTTTGGCCATCAAATTACTGTTATCCCTTAAAATTTTTTTTGACTTCTCTCCTTTCTAGGGGCAGACATAATTTTGCTCTAAATATAGAAGAATCGTTTTGCTTAACCACTGAAACACACAGCATGATTTTAGTTCAGGGTATGATGTGAAGGATACATTACACAAATGCCTCGGGACTTACTTCAAGGTGTTAATTTAGCTCTGTAACCCTCTACGTAGCCTGTAGCCTGGTTTTGTGAGAGATGGGCATAGCATAACAGCTGAGATCAGGTAGCGCACTCAAGTGGGTGGACCTGCAGCAATGCTCCCCAGCCAACGGGGCGGCACGCTGGGACTCGCATCCCTTTGCCGAGAAGCTGAAGTGCACCCCAAGGGCTATATTTTCCATAGAGTTAATTGGTTTAAGTTGAGGTGGGAAGGGGAGGAGAGGTGTCTTGGGAATCTAGGGTTCAGGGTGTAGGGAGCAAAACAACAACAACAACAAGCTGCTAGTTCTGTGTAGGGATCCTGAAACATACTAATGTTTATGTCTCACAAACAGAAAAAAGAGAATAAATGATTATGTGATGAAAAATGTAATTGATGAAGTATGTTCTTTATTTCTTTCAGGAGGAACCTTTTTTTGCCTGCACGTGTTCTTATAGTTGAAGTCCAGTTTGCTAGCTGCATGTGTGACTTGTCTTTGAAAGGAAAGTTTACAAAGTGCGTAGGACAAGGAGTACCAGTGTGTATTGCAACTGAGGTCTAGGCTCCTTGGAAATAGGTTCACATAGCATAATCTGAAATATTTTATCAGCCTGAAGGTGTGTTTTTAAGCAAGACATTCTCTTCACTGTCCACAGAAGGGCCCAAGAAGTTCCCAAATCCCACGTAACTGAGAAGTGCACGGCTGCTCCTGGAGCTTAAAGTCAGCTGCTGCTGCTGGTTTCTGCCTTTTTAAAAGGTTTTAGCCAGTGAGTTCACATGAGTGTAGATGTCTTAGCTCCACCTCCAGTCTGATGCGAGAGGTGAATAAGCCAATATCGAGTCTCTTGTTATTGCAACCTTCACGACTGTGGTGGAGATCTCTTGCTTGGCGGCTTCCAGTGCATGATCCTCCTTCCTTGAGTGCCAGCCCATGTCAGGTGGAGTGTCAGCCACTGGGGAGCACCTTGCACAATGTCACCTCTGTCACGAGATCTGTGAAATCTGCCCTCTGGGTCTGGGTAGACACCAATATTGCCTCTATTTTCTTAATCCCAATCCCAATTTCTATTGAGTTCTCTAGGCTAAAAGATGGGTACAAATGCAAATCTGAAGGTCTTGCCGATCCTCGACAGGCTTGTCTGCTTTCATCATTATGCTCTGTCTTTTCTCCATGTACAAACCAAACCCTTTAAGGGCTGGAATCTTCTTTTTCTACATTAGTACAGCACAAAAGAGCTCCAGTCTTGGTTGCTCTTGTGGCTGCCAGTCTCACTAGTCATCACTGAAACATACAAAGATTGCTGAAACAGTTACTTAGCTTTCATTTTGTCATTTTAAATTTTTTTTTTTTTAAACTAGTTATTTTCTTAATTTCTGTAGCAATGGTTTCATTTTCACCATTTTACCTACTGTCTGGATATACTTCCATCTCTTTACAGAGCGATTCATTGGCAATTTTATCAGAGCAAAGACAGTTTACTCTCTGCTTTGCAGCACAATACACACTATATCTGGAATATAGTCGGTTTTATTTCTTCCCCTCAGTAGTCAAAGGTTAGAGAGAGAAGTTTGTCTGGATAAACACCAGTATTAAACAGTAAGACTAGCTACAGTTTTACTGTGGTCGTCCAAATTCTGTTACAGTCTTGCATGTCCTTCACCAAGAACTGCATCCTCCTGCAGATTCCCTAGTTATTCTTGGTGGTAAATCACGGGGCATATCTATTCCAGCTAGGCCTGATGGACATTGGAGCTCATGATGCACTTGCATAATATCTATATTAGTAAATTAAACTTGCCTAGGAACTGAGGCCATCCAAGGCCACAGAGCAGTCCATATCCATACTATTAAGCTTTCTCAACCTCAAAAACATCATGACTACATATAAACTGACAATTGGGAATTGTTCCTGGCCTGGGCTAACAACCAAACAGAGCTAAGCAATTGTCTGGGAGAGCGTTATTTGGCCGGTGCCGAAAGCATGCCAGGGACTGCTCAAACAATTCAAGGCACAGATAAGCATCTCCCGCTGCCTTGGTACGTCCTTTGCCATTTGCTAACTTACATAGACGAAGCCTTACTGTAACATGTATGCAGTTTGCCAAATTTTGCGGTTTTTTTCTTTTTTTTTGTCTCCTCTGACTTTTCTTCTTTGGACACAACTGCCAAAGAGGACAGATGGCTCACCTGAGAGGATTCCCCCAGTGTACAGCACACACCATGTTAGATGTGGTATGTTGTGCAAAGCAAGGTGTCAAGGACTCAAAACACTTGGAAATTAATGGACCAAACATTCTGAGTTAAATATTGTTTTTATCCTTCCCATGTTCAACCAGGCCTTCATTTATTTAGAGACAGAGATACTTATAGCTCCCTTCTAGTGGACTATTTCTGTCTCCTCTGCTTTCATCACTTATGAAAACTACAAATAAATGTCTAATTATTATCAGATGTTTTAGAACAATATACATACTTATCCCCAGAAAATTATCTGAGGAAACATTATTGGCCTGAGCTGTTAGGAGCAAAAGCCAATTTTGTTTTCATTTGGCAGCAGCTTTATTATGTTACAAGACCAGGCACAGGCATTGCATTGTTTTATGCATTTTGTAAGTAATGATTTAATGACTCGACTTGGTGACTGTGTTCAGTTTTGCTTTCTTCCCCTCAGCTTTTTTGGCTACCTTTGACAATCACAATTCCCTGGCTTTCCTGAAGTTATACTGATTTGTACAAGTAAGGATGTTTTTGTAGACAATATAGTACATAAAGTATATATATAAAAATATGTATTATATTTACAAATTTCCATTATGTACTAGCTTTGAGCTCCATCTTGCCCATTACATCTCAGCTTAGGCCCAGAGAAGGAGGTCCTGTTGCATTAGGGGAGAACATCTACTGATTCTTGCTTGTGTGGTAAGCAGCTTGATGGAGCACACAGACCTTGAGCTCTGTGTGTGAACTATTCAAAGAAGGGATATCCTGTCTTACATGAAAAGAAATGCTAACGTTTTGCAGTTCTGTATCTCTGAAGCATCTCTGAAGCAATTTCACAAAAAGATAATACACCGTACCTTGTGACATCCCTGCAAGGTAGGAAGTTACATTATACCCAAAATACAGCTCAGGAAACCAAGTTAATCACCAAGTTAATAGCTGAAGTAGGACTATATTCGATGGCAAAAGGTTAAATTTAATGAAAGTAACTAGATGGAAAGTCCATTAATTTTTGAGAGGACAAAAGTGATGTACCATGTTTAGATTAACTGTCTTGTTCCTAATTCCTAGTTTTACAGAAAAGACGATTTTCCCAAATGCTTATGGAGGTAAAGAAAGTGACAGAACTCACTACCATGGGAATGAGGGTTTTTCCCAAGGTTTTTTTTTTCATGTCTTAAGTTTTCAAATGGTTGTAACGTGCTGCTTTGCTGGAACAAAAACAAGTAGCATGAGATAAATAGAGGAGCTGAAGGACCATCCCAAACACAATTTTTAAGATGGAAAAGTAGCTTGGTTAAATACTACCTGACTGAAAATTCCATCACTTTGATCTGAATAAGCCAAAGGTCATCCTTGAAAGAGGAAAGGGATGGCAACTGGTAAGATTTTGACATGAAAAAGGCTTAAGCATTCCAACTTATAACAGTTACCCTAATTACTGCAGTCATCGTTTGTCAAACTGAGTTCCATCCTGAGAAACCAAATTTGTGGTGACAGCTTTACAGCTTTTTTTCCTGAGAAAAACAGCTATGCAAAAGAAGCAAATAAAAAGGGAGGTAAAAAAAGATTGAACTTGTATGCATTCCTCCCTGATATTTCAGATACATGTTGGGCATCCTTAACCAGCCATTGCAAATATTAATTTATCAAATTTAGTGCCATTCTGGCCTCTGGGAAAATCTTTCTTATTTTTTTGCAAAAATGTGTTTGCCATGATGTGAGAACATCTTCAAATTTTAATTAACCAGAGTGAAAATCTTTCTGCTGAGAATTAATGGAAAGAACACTTACACTGCATGAGACAGAATCTGAGCATCCTTAAGAGGTATCCTTAGCTTAGCTATCAGATTTTTGTAAGCACAATTGACTTGCACTACAGAAGAGACTTTGCTTACTCTGGGTATACAGACATCCTTTCTGGCAGCTAACTGTACAACCTACATGTGGGAATGAGGAATGAACACATCCAAATGATCTCTTTTAGAAGCAAGCAGTTACCTATGCAAATTCAGATGCTTCTTTGGACCTGGGCAGATCTTTGGTTTGCTACTTTCTCTTCCACACACATTTGGAAGAAGAGCCATATATAACCTCCAAACCTCCACATTCTTTTTGTCGGCTTTATAAATATAATGTTAAACATAATGACAAATATTCTCCCCTTGTATGTCTTGTGCAAACAAAATAGCACATGCAGAGTTATTTCTCTTAGGTATCTGGCAAGGCATATGACTGATGGTTAGAAATTTTGACTTGGTTAAAACAAAATTTAGCTCATGTTAAAGCATTAAAGAAATGCTGATGAGGTCAAAGCAAATTCTCTGATAAAGCTGTAAAATCACCCCAACACACAAACATGTCTGAATCCTGCCATTAGGCTCTCATGCAGCCTGTTTCTCTGCAGCGAGCAAGTAGCTGTAACCCTTCAGTGCTGCAACTGAGTTTAGCAGAGACACTTGAGAACTGAAGTGACACGCACAGAACACACTGATTACTATATATAAAGGAATTTCAGTTCTACATTGTTTTTTCTATATCACCACAGAAAGTGTTCTGTGGGTTTGTTAGCCTGTCCACAAAGAAAGATTTCCATCGTTATTTTTTAGATATAATTTGGGCGAGTGGTGTGGTAAAACAGTTCTGTAAATCAAGTGAATATAATGTATATATGTATATTTCACTTCCTTCTGTAGGTTTCACCTATAGTAGGCTTTGTCTGTGTGTCAGAGGTGGAGACTTGGAAGAAAAATACGTTGTGTGAAATTTTCTGACCACAGTGTTTAATTATATATTGGGCTATTAAAGGCTGTTTCCAGCTGAAATGTTTTCCTTAAGAAGCCAGAACTGAAAGGGTTATGGTTTGTTACTGCAGCAGTTATCAGCAGACAGCCATCTAACCTTTGGTACTTACAGGTATTTTATGGCTCTTGATCATATTATCAAATTCTTCATTAATTTTTTTGTATTTTTCTTCAGTGCGTGGGGTGAGAGCGTAAGAGGAGTCAGGATCGGGGCTTTCACAACCTTTGTTTTCTTTCTTGTTCAATGCCTGCCAGGTTCAGAGAAATATCAAAAAGTAAAAAAAATGAAAGGAAGCGCAGAGTACTTACACATAATCTTTGCCTGCTGATCATTAGATCAATATCTTCATTAATTTTTCTGTACTTGTCCTCAGACTCAGGGCTGTGACCTACTGAATCGTCTGCATCGGGGTCTGGACTGTCACAGCCATTAAGTCCTTTCTTTCTCAACGTCTGAAATACATAATTTGGAAAGTTCAATCCTTGACACAGGCTGCAAGAAAGACTCAGCAGTGTTACAGCAACACAAACTACCCAGCAGTGGAAGGTTTTACATTATGCTTTAAGGAAAGAAAGTGACGAGAGATCCACCGTACTGATGCTGTAGGTCTCCAATTATGAGCGGAAAGAGAGGACCACACAGACCTATTTCTTCTGAAACTAGAGCCAATCAATAAAGAATGAAGCTGGCAATCTGGCAAAGTGCCTGTGCTACTACCCCCCACCCCACCATATCCGATAGCATTAAGGGATTAAGATACCCACACAGAATGCAATTTACTTTTATATATTTATCTATTTGAAATGAATGAACATTTAAAGCAGAGGATGCATACTGTTTACAGTGCAATACCCTGGTGCTCTCCTTTTCTCTAAAGAAAGATACAGGAGGAAGAAATGGAAAAAGAAACTGCAACAAATTTAGGAATTCATGTTCTTCACAGAAGAAGAAGGAGGAGCACCTAAGTTGAATTCTTCCTTTGAATTGGATGTAAGGGATGACATTAGCAATGCTCTGCCATTCCTAAGTGTATGCTTTTGATGGGACAAGGGTAAGGACAGAGTTGCTAATGTGGCCATGAAATACCGATTAAGAGCTTGCTGTCATGGTGTTTACTTTTTATTGACCCCAGTTACCATGCTACAAATGCACAGTGCTGAAGCTTAATGTACAGGAAAAAGCACTGCTAAAACAGATGCTTAGTGAAAAGTCAAAACAGATGAATTTCAGGTTCAGACACTCACAACCATGATCATGATCACCAAGATAAATAATGGAGGTGAAAACACTTAAAACCAGAATTAAATCAGTAGCTAACAATTCAAAGTCATTGCCTGGCCTCAAATAGGTTTTAACTGATCTACCTTGACGGGTCACCACAGAATAATCATGGGCTTCATTAAGGTAAAGAATACGAGAGGCAAGTCTTTGTGGGCTCCCCAAGTACAAGCAATAGTACACAAAGTCAGTATTTGTAAGATTTCTCAAATTTAGCTTCAAGAATGTCTCGGTCAAAAACTCTTCAAAGGGTCCATTTGGCTGTCTACAGACTTTATTAGACAGTTTGCTGTTTATTCTGAGTTAAAACCTGGCTAAGCAATCTCAGTTAAAACATATAGATTCCATAGCACTCTTGTGTTACTAAGCAGCTATGCTTGTGCTGTGCATTAGTGTGGGATGCTCTAACTGGTTTCTTTTTGCCTTCTCAGAATGGCTGCCTCTCATCTAAGCTTTTTGTTCCTTTTGGAAAAGTACATTTCCTAATTATTCTCTTTATGGCAATGCTCAGTTTACCACTGTTAAAGCCCTCAAGTACTATAATGTCATACCTTGTTTCTGTACTATTGTATTTATTTATTAAAAGTTAGACTTAATTTTCTGCATTTTACCTGAGACTTAAGAACAGAGGCCTCTTATTCCTGCAAAAGCTAAAAAACTGTTCTCCCTATGGAAACACACTCCCTGAACCTCACTTTTTCATCAAGTCAGCAAAGTGATGGTCATCTGCCCTAAGATCTGAGCCTTCCAAACTCACGTTGTGGACCTCTAAAACAGATTCACGCAACTGTGGAAGGGTGGCTCAATATAGATCTTTCTTTTTAAACTTCGTATCTATTCAGACTTGACGTCTAATCCCATGAACTACTACTGACACACAAAGTTATAAATCCATTGGAGTCATACCTTAAGAAGCTAAAACAACCTGAATGATTCTCTACAGTTTTTCTCCTCTCCCTCTTCTCTCTCTCTTATCTTTTAAATGATAACTAGCAGAACAGACATAGTCATGTATGATTTCTACTGCTACTAGCTTGAAGCAAGCCAAATATAAAGAGGGCTTTTGAAATCAGCTGTTGTTTGATAGATTTAATAGATAGAGTATGATATATTGAAAGTGAAAATTCTCTTTTACATCTGAATAACTAATCTCAACTAACGTTCTTCTCTTCATATAAGTACAAAACGGTTGTGCTCTGAATACATAAAATATTCTGTTTCAAGATCCATTGGATCAATCTGTCCAGACATGAAACTCAAATCAGCACTCTTGGGACCTTTTCTTGAGCTCATCTAGGTCACTGATGGAGTCCTGCTAATTCACATGCAGTCTCTGAGGAATGATGCTGATGTGAGCTGGACTGGATGGCATCCTCAACTCCAAGCTTTGAGATGACAGTCTAGTTCCTCTATTTACAAATGGTCAGTGATCTCATTTCTTCCCAGAGGTCAACACAGCTGCAACTGAATGGGCATAGGTGAAGGCAGGGAGCTGCACAACTGTTATCCTACCAAACAACCCAGAGGAAGAGCAATATGAAAAGATAAGAGGGGGAATGCTTTGCAGCCTCTGTGAATCTTTTCCTCTCCCATCATTCCCAAATCCTTGTCTGTTGCCTTCACAAGACCATGTCCAGGTGAAAGAAGATGCACCTTGTCCTCAGCACACTCACAATGCCCTAAAGCTCTACGACTGTCTACTTAGCACTCATGTGAAACAGTCACTTTGGTGGTTTGTAGAGGTACAGGAATGCACTGCCATCTTTCAGATGTCCAGAGGCAGAAAGGCAATGTAATTCAATGAATGTCTTGCAACAGTCTCCAAAAAAAGACAAGATTCCCTCCCAACATAGTAATGTTTTTATTTTCATACATATTTCTTTTTATTTTCATATCCTTAGAAAGCAGGTTGCCACCACACCAGGTGGAGAAGAAGCAATCTCTATTTTCACCAGAAAAGCCAAAGACCAAATTTAGTAAAATCACGTTGGTATTCCACCCACAATTAACTTTAGCCCTAAAGAGTAGAGGCAAACCTTTACCTTGCAAAACCCATCAGTCCAGTGTGTTTGGCTGGTACCTTGGCTGACATGGCTAATCAAGCTCACTAATGCAGTGTGCTTCTCCCTGCTGCCCCCCCCACAAAAAAAAAAAACAAACAAAACCCCAAACAAATAAGCCAAACAAACCAAAAACTTGAACAAAACAAACCCAAAAAACATGCTTCAATGAGCTAGAGTAAGGTTAGGGAACAGAAATTTTCACAAGTGTGCTGCAATCAGACAGCTCCTGGCTTTGTGAGTGCTGGAACTGTGACTTGCATTTTGGGGTGAAGTGCAATATCCAGAGGCTTCCTATTGCTGGATCTCTCAGGGCTTTCCTTGCCCCCTACCCATCCTTCTGCTGATTCTTTTTACTTCTGTGTGTAAGGACTCATGCTGCAATGCTGCCTTCAGCTGGAAGTCTTTCTGGGAATAATTTCTGGTTCTCTTTTTCTACACAAGAACATATAACTTTGATGAAACTTCTTGGAATTTCGTTGTCTGTGAGACCCCTCCCTTTGAGCCAGATTTACTTGGCACTGAATAAAAAATGAAGACTTTCAAGGCAAAAGACTGAAGAACACACTGATAGACCGCACAGGCACATGGACAGACACACACTCACGTACAGTCCTCCTCTGGAGAGGAGAGCAGGCTTAAAGTGACATACTTATCATCTGCACTATTGTGGTATTCAGGACAAATATAATGATCCCGAATATCTTAGCATTATCTCTGGCTTCTCAACATGCAGGCTGCAGTTTTGCCTGTTCCATTGCCTTGTTTGTTACTTGACTCTCCTCCACATCAGTACCTACCATGTTATACCTCTCATAAAAGTCCTTTATTGTCATGCTTCAAGACAATACAACACAACACACAACACAAGTTGGTACAGCACAACTAAAAGTGGCACTGACCAATATCTAACTGATCCATCCTTATTCACAAGCTCTCTGGACTCCATGTCCATTTTCTGGTTCTGGACATCGGAGAAGACTGGAGTTACTAAGAAGACCAACTGGGTTTCAGCAGGCTAGAGTCTTTGACCCACTCTTGCAGTGATTTAGAAACCATTTTTCTTACCATATTAAGCAGTCATAGCCTCTTGCAAACCCTGGAAAATAGCCAGACCTATCACATCCTCCTGGAGATTAGCTAGTTTCCAAAGATTAAATGACTATTCAGGGAATTTTTAAGAGGATAAAATTACACAATTGTATAGTGCATTGCATTCTAGAGAACACCAAGCCAGATTTCAGTTATTTTTAAAGAAAATAAGCCATTTTTGAACTACGGAAGCTCCACTTCTTTCACGCAATTAAACAAGTAATTACATTGGACTCCAATAACCTAAAATCAGCCAAGGCATTTGAAAAACAAAATGGTTAAAGGAAAACAACCTTTGGCTGAAATCTCATATGCCAGCAATTTAGCTTAAATCCTGCTCTATAAATCTCAGAGGAGAAGTGCTGACTTAGTGACATACTGGCTGCTCTAAAATGAAGTATAAACAACTATTTACTTCCATTTCATGCAAAATTTATCATCACTACAAAAGCACAAAAGAAAATATGGCAGTAACAGCCAGGTCTGATTTTATCAAGGCAATGGAAATCATCGCAATTTGAAGGCTTTTGAGGAGGAAAAGCCTTTCATTTTCCTAATCCAGTCGCTGCTTCTGCGGTATTATCCTCTTCTTTTAGCATTTATTTAACAGGAAGAGTGGAGAAGGTTAGAAAAGCATTTTTTTTCTCATTCTATCCTTTAGTTTGCTCGTCTTTGTAGAGGGGTATCTCCTTTCTTCTTAATAGGTTCATCTGCTGTGGAACTGCTCCCCACAGCACTCCAGGGCTTGAGAAACCACAGATATTTGGGCTTGGAAATGCTCACAGTATACCTGCCAAATTAAAAAGACCAGGTGGGTCAATAAGGTCCCCAAAAGGTGCAGACCAGCCCACTCTGTCTGTTCCATTTTGATGTCCTCTGCAACAAATATCTAACTATTGCAAGGTTAATCACTATCCTCATTTATGTAATGAAAAGTGTGATCTTACTGGTTCTTCCTCTGTAATCAAAATTTACAGTATGGAAAAATTCAGAATTACAGGTCTACTGCTACAGATTCCTGT